ATAAAACTCTTTGTTGTTGTTTGTTTCTTTCGGAGTCAAACATTTTTGAAAATTCTTGTGTAAATCTCTTCCAATTTGATTTTATTTCTAGAGGCAATACTGAAAACCATTTTTGGGCTGCGCCGTCTAAAGTTGCTTGTATCAACGCTGTGCGTCGATGTATCCAGTTTTGATGTAGTGGCGTATTAATTGGTTCAGGTCCTATATTTAAAATCAAATTTGCTGTTACTGCATTTAAATAGTCTTCTACAGAATATTCAGGGTCTGTTCCTGTGAATACCATTAAAGGTTTATTTGATGTTATTGATGATCCACCCATAAGGTATGGATTCATTGTCATTTGTAATGATTCTGCTGCATTTGGCATTTGAGAAAAATTTGAAAGTTGATTTCTTGTTATTTCGTGTTGTTGAAGATAATATGGGAGTGGTATTTCATTTTGCATTTGCGTCGGTTGATACGAGTGTGTGATCATTGGATTTTGTTGCTGAATTGGTTGAAAATATTGTGTAATAATTGGGTTTTGTTGCTGAATTGGTTGTTGATTTTGTGTATCTATCGGTTGTGGGGAAAAAATTCTATGATTTATATGTGGTTTCTGTACTCCTTGTCCACGATATTCTTGATTATATGGTGCAAAAATATCTGGTTGTAAAAAATCATCATCTGAGGATAAGTAATCCATTTGATAAGATGTTTGTTTTTTATTTTTATTTTGTTGAAAAAATGGATAGTTTTCACTACGATCCTGTGAAGGATGTAAATTTGTTTGAAAATTTACTGAATTAGTTTGTGCTATTGGGTTATCCCAGTTTCGAGATCTTGTGTAAATATTAAAATTTTTTCGTGGGGGATAATTTGTTTTTGATGGATGTGTGTAATTATAATTATGTTCTGCAAAATTGTTTCTAGTGAACGTTTTACGTGTCTTTGACGGTATTGTCATGGGTCTGTATGTCTGATAATCCATGTTTGAATATTTTGGGGCAACCGAAGGTTTAACGGTTGATTGTAAGGTTACCTGTGTTTGTGAAGGGTTTGTATTTCTTGGTGTTGTTAAATTTGGACGTATCGGTGAAATGCTTTGTTGTATAGTTGTTGTTTGTACGATTTCTTCATTTATGAAGTGTGATGGTGTCTGGATATCTTGCTGGGTGAGGTTCATTGAGGTTTTCATTGTGTATGATTGTGGAGTTTAAACTATTATTTTGCATATCAGGTAAAAATGTATTATAGTTTAATGGTGTTGCATCAATGCTTAATGGTATTACTCTTACATAATCTCTTACATAAGATATCGTACTTATTGCTTGACTTGAGATTGATTGTGGGAAGTTTATGAATGCGGGATGAGACCATTCGGGGTCCCAAACATAGTCTGACTGTTCTGTGATGGCAGTATCATCGTTTGAGTTTTGAGGTCTAAAATTTTTTCTTGCTTGTGAAATTAAATCTAGATTATGTGTGAAATAATCTATTATAAACCATGCCAAGATTTTTTGTAAGTCATGTTTTGTATGTTGTGAAACATCATCTTTAGTGAAATTTTCTTTAATTATATTTAGAAAACTAGAGAGTAGTGTGATTTCATGTCGTACTCTTATATGTTTAGATGTTTCTGTCGGTGAGACATTTGAGATTGGGATTTCGTTTTCTAATATCGAGATATAACTATATATTATTGCAAAAACTTCATTGGTGAATATGGAGTTTGCTCTTTGTGAGTTATGATATTGTATGCTTTTTATATATTCTGAGAATACTTTTGAGAATTCTAAATCAAGGTCGTCTGTTTGAATTACATATTTGCTGTGATTCTGGTTTGGTGAGCTGAATTGTATGGAGTAGATTCCGTATTGTTGTGTTAAGTTGCATATATCTTTCAAATAGTGATCGATAATTTGTCTTTTGATTTTTACATCTGGGAACTCTGTTTTACATGGACTGACTCCGGGTTCAAACAAATTTAAGAGTAAATTTTTGCAAAATATGTGCTGTCCTTTATCTGTGGTTGCATCTACGATAAAGGGGAAGATATCATCATCATCTGGACTTTCTTCACCTGGGGTGTGTGTTGAGCTCATTTTTTCGTTTGATGACTGTTAATATGTAACTATCGATGTATCTAATTGGTTGATTCCAATTGTATAAATGTACTGGTTTGTGTTTATATTGTTTTTTTATTCTTCTTTTTCCTCTTTTTGATGAATTTGAAGTTGTTTCTGAGTCGGAAAAATATAATTGATCGTGAATGGGGCAATTTTTATCTATAGATTCTTTTAATTTATAAAGTTCGTCTAAACTGCTGGTTTCTGATTCTGAAAATGCGTTTCGGTTTTTGGAAAATCTTTTTCGTGTTATTTGTCTTTGTTTGGTTATTATTTTTCTTTTTAATGTTTGTCGTTTTGTTCTGATATATCCAATTGTTTGTGTATGAGGTGTGATTACAAGATCGTATTTTTTGTTATCTATTTCACAATTGTGTAAAACGATTGTTTGTTTATTTCCTAGGTTTTTAAATGACATAAGGTTTAGGATGACGGATGCAAAAGGTTGTTAAATGATTTCTATTTTCTTAGACTGTTAGTCCTTACGATTTTTTGGTTAGCCTAACCTGGGTCTATTTGTTCAGGGTTGGGGAGAAAAGTATCTCGATTCCGAAGAATGATTTTTTACTTTCTCGTGGCTAGTATAAGCTAAGGTGTTAACTTACTTAATCTTACTTAAGGGTAGTGATTGTGTTCAGGGTTGGAGAATAGTAAATCGATCCACAAGGTTCAGGTATAATTAGAACGCGAGTAGTTCGTTAGATACTATTTTAAACTTACTAAGTCTAAGATTTATCCTGGGTCTGGTAAGAGGGGGGATCAAGTGAAGGATGAATAACCGAAGTTCTTCACTGTTTATCCTAATTTGAATGATTAGTTTTATTCAAAAATTTCTGTTAGTCCTGTGTTTTTAGAAAGGGTTGGATAGTGAATCGACGTTTGAGGTCGTTAGACACTAGCTAAGTGGGTGGAGGAGAACAAAATTGTTCTTTTTGATCCAAGGATAGGCCTTGATGATCAAGTTTTAAATGTAATTAAATAGAAAATAATTTAAGATCCAAGGATGAGCCTTGATGATCTGGTTTTAAATTTAAGTGAATTTAAGTTTAAAATAATTTAAATTTGTGTAGAGAAAAGATTTAGTGTTTTTATGATATTAGTGAGCTTATGAATGCTGTTATGTTTAGGTGATGAAGCTGGAACAACAGGATGGATGATTTATGATTACTTAACCATTTATTGTCATGCTACTAATTTTTATTTTGATTTTTCAATAAATATTTTTCAAACATGTTTTGTATATTACTGCAGAATTTAGGAAAACGATCTGAGATCTTTTTATCAATCGTTATTGTATATTAATAATTTTGTTTAGCGCCTGAAATGATTTTGAAGATTGACTTCAATATTTTATGTTTGCAAATGAAAATCTAAATTCATTGCTAGTAGTATTCTAAATACAAAAGTTTGTGTTGGCTTTTGCCGAACTATCATATAACTATATGGTAAATTTCTGCTTTGTCGTATGTCGTCTCTGGTTCGAGGTCTTCTTGCAATTCCGGGTAGTTCTCTTATCGTTCGGAATATTGGCTTTGATCTATTGAGTCGTAGAGACATTTCGATTAAATTATCGTCGTGTAACATTTTAAAAATGTTTTGTCTAAATTCTAATCTATTTTTTGGTTAATTCTAAGCTATTAAGGTCTTGTTCGAGACTTATGGTCGCACCAGATGAGTTAGGACCGAAGTGTATAACTCATAGAGTAATTTCGGATAGGGTACACCGTCTGCTCGTCACGCTATCTTATTTTCGGCCGGATAGATTCGTGCAACTTCTTAGTCTAATACCGATCCTAATCTTACTCTTATACTATCTAGTCTCAGGTTGTTTAACTAGTCTCTGCTAGGCTCAATAGATCTAGGGTATACTGGTTTATTGCGGCAGCTGAAGTCTTCTTGGAGAGTCAACTAATTTCTAAGTTAAATTCAAATCTCTCTGGTGCTGAAATTACAAGTAATTTCAGCACTTACAAATAAGTGGGTTGTTAGTTAGATGGATCATGATTGGTTAATATTAAATACTTTACAGTGGTAAAATATCTAATTTATCCAATCATAAAATGTAGTTTAGATCAGGTTCCAACAGAATGGATTTGACAAGATACTTAATTGACCTTATAATTTTTGTTAGCCTTTTTTGTTTTACGCTGATTCTGTTTGTCTACAATGTTGTCTTGATTTCAAATTTTTTCAAATAAATCATTCCAATACATGTGTGCAAAATTTGAGATTTAAAGCAGGCTTAATTTTTTCTGAAATTTTTTTGCTGATTTTTTTGAGCTAATATCGAAATTTTCGAATTAATGTATAGACGTAAGGTTAAAAAACGAAGAAATAAAAACTATTTTTTTTTGTAAAAGTTTAAGTGTGTTTTTGAAAACAATAGCTGAAGTTTACTCTCAGGCATTAGCTGTTCCAAAAGACATAATTGTATGAAAAATAAGATAATTAGGGAACTAAAAAACTTTTTTTTTCATTTTAATTGGCGCAAATAAGCGAGTAAGCAGGCATACAGTAGCTTATTTTTGCTTAATTTAGGCCTGAAAATTTGGTTTTACTCTCATCAAAAATAGGCCTTCCAGTTTTTCATTGAGATCCTTCTATTACACCACGCAGAAACAACAACACTATTTCGTAAAAACTTTTGGTTGTTTTTTCAAGAAGACTATGACCGGAATATTCTGTGCTACTTCTCAAAAACTGGCTATTCTTGTTTTGTTCCTATTTAGTTGAAGTTTTGAAGACATTGGCAAAAACTTTCTGAAAAAATTTCTGAATAAAGTAATATGTACTGTCCAAAAATTATGAATGTGCTCAGAACTTCAAAAATAAATGATATATTACCTGCAACAATTTTTAATAGAGTTGTTGATAAAAGGAATTTATATTTACCAGTTTTAGAACAAATGATCCATACAAGATTGGTCCAAATGATGGGTTTAGCTATCCGATTTGTCGATGGAAAAAATATGCAGACTGAACTCTATTATAATAGTGTTATAACCTTTTTTATTTTTTTCCAGCTTCTAAGATTAGACTGGAAAACTGGTAGACGGTTAAAACAAATTTCCTTTCTCTATATTTGATGGAAAAAGAACGAGAATGATGGCAAGCATATTAGAATTTTTTAGTAATTGCAGATGACACTTCTCTTTTGACTGTGGTCATGGTCAGAGTTAGCTGGACTTTTATTGCGTTTCTTTAATGCTAAAATCGGAAAGTGTAAGCAGATAACTACTTTATAGTTACAAATTGACCTATAACTATAATCGAATTTCAATTTTGCTACATGATTCAATTTCATCTTCTCCGTTGAAGAAGAAATTTACTTCATTATAAGCTAAATGCAAAAGTAGCGAATTACTATAATAGAGCAAATTTTATGTTATCCAAGCGTAAAAAATATTGGCTGAGTTTATGTTAACTTTAGAGATATGTTTTTTGTGGTCATATTCCCGCTGGAGAAGATAATCATTGATGATTCACTTAAAAACGGTTTTGGAGATTGGAAGGAGTTCACGTAAGGTCTGAAAAAAATGCATGAGGTAATTTTCAATCTAATAAACAACAAAACTGCTCTTATCATGGCAAAGCCTTGAATGTTCCGACTAAATTTTAGGGTCTATGGAGCAGTAATAACATTACAAAATTAAATGAAAAAAAAATGATTTTTTTTTCTTCAAAACTTGAGATTTTTGTGAAAATCATCACCCCACACGCCATTTAAAATACAAAGTGATAGATTTTGTGCCTAGTAACTAATCAATTCTGACAAACAAGCTTCTTTCAACCAATATGGAATAATTTTTAAGGCGGAATAAATCAGGCGTTAAATGTCCCAAGTTGGACAAAATCGCAATTTTTAAGCCCCAAATTTTTACAAAAATGATCACAGGTGAAATTTTTCTTTAAAATCAAGCTCATGACTACAATGATTTTGGAATACAACTAAAAAGTCCGTCAAAAATGCGAGTTGAAGTCAAAACTTGTCTGATGAAAAAAAAAACAAGCCCGAGCACAAATATTCCGTTATTTTCGTTACAAAAGCAGTAACCCAATTTTAGACGTACTGGAGAATTCTGAACCCTCAGTTGGATGTATTAAGTGTGACAAAATTTGATGTTATCAACTTTGCCTTTTAGTGGGTTTCACAATGAAACGTTTTCCAGTGTTTTTCTCAGTTTTGTTCCGACTTTCCCGACGAAGTTCACATTTGTGCTCGGGGTGGTTTTTCTTCTTCAGACAAATGTCGACTTTTTTACTAGCCTTTTTTGATCAAATTTTTTTATATCTTTCAACTGTTATTAATGTCTTGAGCTTAAATTGAAAAAGTACTTGTGATTTTTTTTTGTAAAGTTATGGGGGGTTTGAAGATTGCGCCTTTGGCCAATTTGGGACATTTAACGAGCCTTACATTTCGCTGTATTAACGCGTAAGCGGAGATTAAGTCCGTCTAAATTGGTTGAAAGAAGCTTATTTGTCATAATTGATTGGTTACTAGGCGTGAAGTTTATCACTGTGTTTCAAATGGCGTGTGGTCGGACGATTTTCACGAAAAATCTCATTTCAAAAAAAAATTTGTTTTTCATTTCAATTTTCCACATTTATTCTTACACCTAATACGAGAAGTCCTGTTTCCTTTCGCTCTTGTTGCGTTAGCCAAACTCAAAGTTAGAAATTGCCGTAACTTAAAATGTTTTCTTTTTCTTTAGTTTTCATGGAAAATGTTCGATTTCTGAAAAATGAAAAATTTGAGTCGGAATTTGATATTATTATCCCACTTAAATATCGAAAAAAAATAAAATTAATCAACTGATATTTAAATTTTTATATATTTTGGATCAAGAAAATGATCCAAATAGTAACAATCAGCTGCTTTAGTTATTTTTAAGTAATTTAATGATATAATTTGACTGTGACTAAAAAATAAAATAGTAGTTTAAATTAGAAAACTCTCATCAGATAGATAGAAAAACTATAAAAACACAGAAGATAAACGGCACATTCCATACAAGGCCATGACAGAAGTCCATTCTTAGACAAGCTAGATGCTGGTGACTTTATTCCATTGCATTTCAAATGTACTGATTGGCAGTGATATTTCAAGCAAGCAAGATGTTCCTCGCCAAGTACAGTTCCATTACAAAACACGCATTCGGTATAAAAGGCTCCAGTTGTATTCACTTGATCCGCCATATTGAGCAATTTTTCTCAAAATCTGGCGTTTGACTAGAGTAAAGGTCTCTGAAGAATTTCGCTACCTCGCTTCAACAAAATACCGTAGGATGTAAAACAAATGAGACAACTATGCGCACCAAGCTTTCTTTTAACCCTTGAGTTGAGGTCGTTAGAAATCTTGACAAGTTTTCTGAAAAGAATCTAAAGCTATCGAAACAATCAGCTGTGAGGCTTGCGGGTAATGTGAATATTAAAAGGATGAATTCATCGATGTAAAATACTATTTAATCGGTTGATATCCGTCAAATATTCAAAAAAAACGAGTCATTTCAAGGCCAGGTGCATACAATCTCTAAAATTTATTTGTAGACACGGGCTGCCCAGTTAAAACATCCGGTTCGTCGAAACAAAATACATCTACTTGAAAAGTTTATCACAACAATTACGCTAACTAGAAACATTAGGCTAAGTAGAAACAATAGAAACGGATTATTATCAGTCAACCCTGATATTATTTCAGACTCCCAGTGAAATGCAGAAAAATAAATTTAAACTTAATATCAGCTTGTTCGAAGTGTCTTCATTTGAAAGTAAACCAACCGAAATTATATAAATTTTTTTAATGAAAAAAAATCATGGTTTTCATATATTCTTTCAGTCTAACTTTCGAAAAAGTTTAAGCAACAATTTAAATACGGATTGCACATTAAGACTGATAACAATATTTGGGGACAACTATAGAAGTCATTTGCTGTGAAAGTAGCAATCATTGTGGTAATTGCGGTACTAAAAATTGAAAGTTGCGCAACAAGTTTTAATGATTTGCCTTATGTTTTTGTGGGTAAACCTTTTAAAATAACACAAAGTTATCTTTAGTATGCTTGTTACATTTTGCTTTAAAGATTGACGAAAGTTTGAAAGCAATTTTGAATATCAAATCTACCTCTGAAAGGTTTGAAAAATCTAAAAAAAAATTTGGTTTGAAACCTTTTTCTGGAGCCACATTTTATCTACAACTAATTGTCCAATAGAAGGATACAACAATTAGCACCTAGTAGATTTAATCAAAAATTGAAACGAGCTTGAAAAATTCACGTGCCACAGTTCGATATCACTCTACAAGAAAATCGGTATATAGTTTTCCGGAAATTTACTTGCCGCTATAAGCTGAACAAAGTAGAGAAATATTTTTAGTTTAGCATCAAATTTTTTCAAATGCAGCTAAAATAGTTGTGGTGAGATGGAACTGGCTCTTTTCCAGTTTCCCCCCCCCCCCACCTTTCAAATTCAATTTTGAAAAGCTTATTTAGCGTTGCCATAATGCAATGAAATTTGGCGTGGCTTTTCTTTTAAATCATCTGAGAACATGTTTATTGTCTCAATTCATCAGTTCATTTTTATTTTTAACCAGACATGCTTAAAAATTCAATGTAGCTACCTATAAAAAAACGAAAAAACAATTAGATAAAAATCAGACGCTCTAAATACTTGTTTGATAATCTATGAAAGAGAAAACTTATTCGAATTTTTTGATCCAAAACAATCGACATTAATCCCACTCATTACTCCCGCTTTTATTTTCTTTGAATGGAAAATAAAAAACAATGTCGCCCAGCTGATGGGAGGCGGTGCTGACTTGATCTAAGGTTCCGATTACCAAAGAATGCTAATCAAGTCTTTTGCTGCAACCGCTTAGCTATTTTAACCAAAAGCGTACAGTTTGATAATGAAGAGTCTTTGACTGACTGAAGATATAGTGTCATTACGCCTTTGTGCCCTAAATTAGTCCTCTGCTAATCCAATTTTTACATTCTTGCCATCTAAGAAAGCGGGAAAGAAATCTCAAAAGTCTTGAGAAACGATTTAGTTTTTTCAAATTGGAAAGGTTAGTGTTGATAAATTTTTTTACCTTTCAGGAATGAAAAATTAATTATTCCGTTGACATCCATCTTGATGAAAAAAGCTATAGCATTATAAGGTTTTGCGTTTTCGTCAAAAAGAGCTACCTCAAGAAAAGCTCTATCATTAATGAACGCGGTATCATGTTAAAGCATTTTTGCAGACAATTTTGAAAAAAATTATTATCAAGAAACTTGGTACGCTTTTTTCAAAACCTGTTTCTGAGAAATTATTTTCAATTTTGAAAATCTTTCGTTTTTTCTCGTTTTACTTGAACAACTGAAACAGACTTGGAATACGACCTAAAATTTTTTTTAGTATCCATCCGGAGAAACTAAAAGACTGAAAGCAAAGATTATTTTCCGTTGTTGGTTGTAAAAACTTATAATAAGCATAACAAATTAAAGATTTTTCTTTTTGTTTAACGTAATATTTTGGCAAATACTAACCTTTAAAAGAGAATGTTTGTCGCAATATCTTATCAATAGATAAATAAAACCCTGTAGTTGTCTCTTTGATTTCCATTTCATTGGTCGTGTTTAGTTCTTTTTATCTCTCTTTCTTCAGCATTTTCCAAAATCTAAGACGTCAGTGGTTTTTACTTTCAAATGATTGCACTTAAATGATGAGGTAGATTTTACTTGTGAAAAACAAGACGGGGAGGTAAACTTGTAGCTCTGAAATAAATGATTTATATTGATCTTCCTAAGAAACACGATCAGCAAGAAAAAAGTGCTATTATCTTAAAAGGCATGATAAAAGGATTTCAATATTGACTATTAATAAATTGTTCTAATAGTCTAGATAGTTATGTACAGTGTATGTACAATTGCTTAAAAGAATAAAAGAAATAAAATGAAGAGTGAATTAAAAAGCTTCGAATTATGGTCGAATCATGCAAAATGTTGACTGGTATGTAATGAATACCAAAATTCATAATGACTTTTTTTCAATTTGCTTATTGTGGGTGAAGGTAAAGTTTTAAATGACACAAAAGTTATCTTTATTATAATTGTTTCATTTGCTTTAAAGGGTTGAGGAAAATTTGGGAGCTATTTTGATTATCAAATCTACCTCTAAAACATTTTAAAACTCTAATCAAA